GTAGAAATTAAAGCAGTTAATTGTTTACTAGAAAAAATATGTTTAAAAACTGACGTACATTTTTCTGCCCATCACCGGCTTTATATAACCTGTATTATTACCCGTTACTCGTAGAGTAAAAGGGTATCTTATGTTCGTTGAAAAGTATGTAACAGGTAGAAGGAAGCGTTTCCCACCCTATAAAGTATATATATTCTTGATCAGTATCAATAGCGAAGTCGGTTAGGCCATGCCCGTCTGTCCGTCCGTCTCTCCGTATGAACGCTGAGATCTCAGGAACTATAGGAGATACAACGTTGAGATTAAGCATGAAGATTCTTGGGGTCTCTACGCAGCGCGGTTTATTTCACCATCCTGCCACGCCCACTCTTACGCCCACAAAACACTAAAAACTAAAATCGCTGAAATGTTAGGCAGTACTAGGGCTAGAAAAATGAAATTAGGTATGCATAATCTTGATGACAGCGCATCTTATGGTGGTACCATTGTCCGGCTACACCTACTCTTACTCACACCAAGCTCGAAAAACGTTTTTTTTCGCTTTTTGTAGAAAGGCTTATATTTTGGTACCTATAAGGTTACTATAAGTGTGTAACTACAATCCGTACTATTTGTACACCATCTGACCACGCCCACTCTAACTCCCACAAATACGCGGTAAGTCAAAAATTCGAAAATCTCGGGAACTGTAAATAATAGAAAGTTATAAAAAGATTCCACTGCAGCTTGGCCCGAGTTTTCATTCGGCCACGCCTACTATAATGTATGTATTCGTTTGATCTTGTATAACATATTTTTGTCAATATCTATCGATTTATCAAGGAATTTTCAAATCGGAACCATATTTCTCTATTTAGAGGAAATTTATGTTAAAAGGTTTTAGTAAGTTAATATGCTTTTTTGACAAAAGGTGGCGCTTTGTCCATTTCAACTAGCAAAATTAATGTACTCGACTATAGCGTCCCTTCTTGTTTTGAATTAATTGCGAAAAATTGTTCCGATTTGAAACATTTTTTGGTAAACAAATAAATTTTCGACAACATCAATCCAAAATATAAATTACTATACTATAGACTCCACCGTTTTCCTCGTTTTGTGGGTATTAAAGTGGACGTGGGAAAAAACTACATGTTTAATTTAAGCTTTCTATAAGAAAAGAAATAAAATCTGTTTTATATTTTTTTTTGGTCACGAACCACCTGATAGTTTTGGAGGCTTTTAAACTGCATGATACCTCGTGGTCCTGTCCAACTCGCTTGGTTGCCTCCACGCCGTTATTTGATCATGACATTGTTGATGGCCTTCTTGATCTTTCTTTACAACAAATAAGTTAACCCTCTAAATGGGCAATAAGATCTGATATTTGTTAATGGTTAGTTAGTGTATCTAAGATTGATTCTCTTGTTGTCTCAGAGGACAGTTACCACTCAATCCTAGAATTAAAAGTTTTTCTGCCCATCTAAGCAACTCCTTCGCGACATAAGTTTTTAAAGATAAAACTTCACTAAATTAAGGTTCTTAAAACTCAAAATTTAAGCTACCACGCAGGGAAAGAGATTGAAACACAAATTATAATATAAAGGGTGTTATAATAAGAACAAATAACACGGCAAGGCTCATGCAGGCATATAAATGTTAATCTTCTCGTTAATTCTACAGAATCATTATCATCCCTGACAAGATTATGCAAAAACAAGAAGAAACGTTCTAGTCGACCGCCGCGACTATAAGATACCCGTTACTGTGTTATCCAATTTTAAAGTAAAACTTTTGACGACGACACCTTTTAATAAATGATAGTGACGTTACTGCCCATATGAGGCCTTACAACCTACTCTTCTTAATAAATCGCGAAAAATTCTTGTTTACAAATTTTTGTGTTCTCCAGGTTATTTGTTATGCTATGTTCCGTAATTAATGGTGAAAACTAACAGTTTAAACTAAAAGTAACTTTTGTTTAGATAAAAATTATAGGTGGTTTAAAAAAACAGCAAGCAAATAAATCGGCAATTTTAGAGTCAAAGGATGCCGTAGTCGAGCTTACATGTACCGATGAAGGCAACGGTAGGGACATTCGTTTGGCCTTAATATAATTACTGCTTCGGATCATTAAAAAACTCAAACAACAAGTAAATAAGAGAATTGGAGCCAGACACTACGTGTTTTAGGAAATCCGATGGCTTACCCGATCTTTTAAGTTTTTTTAAAGAGTTTATTTTTTGCTTTTTAAATCTTGGAAACACATTTATCAAAAAATGAATTTAAAGCACCATTAAACCATTCCTTGGCTTTTAAATATCCGCGCAATCGTATCAATTTGTGCAATAGTACTCAGAAATTAAGTAATTTAGGTTAGTTAAGTTGCACTTACGGAAACATCTCATTTTAATTTAAGAAGCCAAGAACGAAGGAGCTGTTTGGATGAGCAGAAAAGGTTAATTCTAAGGTTCGGTGGAAACGATCCTCTGGGTTAACGAGGACATCAAACCTTTTTACAGGATCAAAGCAACTATCAAATCTATTTGCCTATTCAGAGAGTTACCGGCATCTTAATGGGTGGGATACTTGTGCCCGCTGCTTTTGGTAAAGTTTTGCCGGACGCCAGCATTATATTTTTGGCATTCATAATAAGTACGCCTCTTATTCGGTCTATTCTTTAACCAACCGCAATGTCTTAATGCTTTCAATTAAAACACCATATGCAATCCCATCTTGCATGCATCGGCCCTGTGCAACGAAAAATTTTCATACGTTGTTTAATAGTATTTATTTCAGTGTTTCACCACACCCCCAATGAAATAATGCTCGATGCAATTCACGTAGGGTAGTTGAACATGAGTTCCAAAGGTACTTTTATTTTTTCAGTTTCTAGTACTAAGAACAAGAATAAACTTTATAGTTGGTATTAATTTTAAAACACTAATTTATGTAAGTAATATAAACGTGTATGATGACAGACGGTGTCGTAAGTGGCCATATGAGGCCTAATAACCTAATAACTTTTTAAATTAACTACGAATAAATATTCCAATTTGCGAAATTGAAATTATTGACTGAGAATTATATTTAATACATTATATGTATTTCTAACATTTTATGTTCTTAGTCTATGAGCGACTGTACAATTATTTGATTTGTATTTGTTTATTTTTTCCAGGATAAGCGTGCAAAATAAATTTCTCACTTGTGGATTTAATAAAAAAATAAAAAAATAGGATAATGCAATTTCCCAATTAAATTTGAAATCGAATTTAGGCCGGAAATTAGTGCTTACATTAGCGGACTTCAGGCGCGATTGGGACTCCGATGTTTAGAATATCGGCCTGGATGCTTACAGCGTCCGTTGGAAGCGTACTGAGTTAAGCTGTTCACGGTGGGAGGCGTATTTGACAGAATTAGCTGACCACGGACTTATTTAGGGTTTCTCAGAGTTAATTGAAAATAAGAGTTCTTGGCACAAAGTTATAATAATAATGTGTCATATAACTTGCACATATTTCGACATTTTTGTGTTGGGTTTGCTAATTTCAATTCATCATATGCTGCGAGCACTTATAAAAACAAATGAGCACTCCAAGCAGAGACACAACTAGAGTACACCAGATTTACACAATCATCGGAGAGTTACATATATAGAACTTTCCTTAAAATAAATGTGGAAATAGAAAATTTCCAACGAGGTTAACAATTATTACTACTAACAAGTTTATCTCAGCATTCTGCCACGCTCACAATCACCGGAGAGTTACATATATAGAACTTTCCTTAAAATAAATGTGGAAATAGAAAATTTCCAACGAAGTTAACAATTAGTACTACTAACAAGTTTATCTCAGCATCCTGCCACGCCCACTACAATCTGTTAGAAACTATTGCAATTAGAATATTCGGATTAAGCATGTACGAGGTGTGTTCAAAAAGTAAGGTGACTCTTCAAATTTCGCGAATTTGAAATTTTTCGATTATCGATTTTTTTGTTTTGTTATATTGGTACACTCTTCCCTAACATCTGTACCAAGTTTCAATGGAACATCCTCTTTTGTTTGGTTGTGAGAGGCGTAAAGTTACAAGTTATTTTGCGAGCTCGGCGTTTTTGCTATCGAAAAATATGGATCAAAGGATTTGGTTTTTTGGCCAAAAACAACACCACAATAATGCCTCAGCCACCATATTCCGGATTTGGCCCATGTGACTTTTCTTGTTCCCAAAACTGAAGATAATCGAAAAATTTGAAAAATTTGAAATTTGAAAAGTCACCTTACTTTTTGAACACACCTCGTATAACTTCTAAAAGGTTTCGATAATCGAAAAATTTGAAATTCGCGAAATTTGAAGAGTCACCTTACTTTTTGAACACACCTCGTATAATCTTGCAATTGCGGCGCAGTGGTGGTAACATTATCCCATAACACCCACCCAATTCTTAATAAGAGCTATGATGTTATGCTATGAAATACATATTCTAGAGATTATACAGCAGCTTTTGGTGGTTTTCACCTGGCCACAAGGTGTGGCGTTCATAATATTAAAATGTGGGTTTTTTTTATCTTTTATAATATTTTCTATTAATACCTATCCATAATAACCATGCTTTTTCTGACATAAGGTGTCGTTTCTGTAGAAAATAAAGTACCCTGTATATTTCTGTCTGTTACAATGCACGCTTGTATAGGTATTAAAAAGAGATCTTGATGTATCGATATTTGTCTCGCTCTAAGGAATAGAGAATAAGAAAATAAGTATACCAATCTTTTGTTTCTTCTTCAACTTAAAAGTTAGTCGCAAAAAAAATTCCGAAGCGTTCACACGGTGTTCTCTGATTTGGCTTCTTCGAATTCTGCCGCTCAAGAGTTTCGTCAAATTCCGCTAGCAACATTAATATTTTAAAATTGGATAAAATAGTAACAGGCATCTTATTGCCGCGACACTCGACTATAGCTTTTCTTCTTGTTAATTCGCCATGATAAGCATTTTACAATAAATAAATGAATATTACTTACCATTAAATCGTACTTAAATTGATATAAACTTTTATTGTGGCATGGCTTTGTAGATTTCTTGCAAAATAACATCGATTTCTTATAAAGAAAAATATGCCGCTGATGTGGCTTTGTTCTAAGACGAATATCCCCTTTAGACACCGACCACACCTTGAATGAGTCTTCCATCAAGAGCCTACCCTGCTGTGCAATATCACTCTGAAATACTCAAAAAATATTTTCTTAGCTGGATTTATTATTTTTATTATTATTTTCAAAGCTTATACGTACCGGAAAGCCAGTTATCGATACTTGATGCATAGAGTCGTTAACACACTTTAAGACGATTAACATACAGTCAAGCGCTTTTTGGAGCTCATTTGTGCAGTAGTTGGTACTTTGTAATTCTCTGAACTGGCTTGAGCAAATATGCAGACAGCGGAAGTTTATGACCGAGTCGCTTTTGGCACTCTTGGAAAAACAAATGTGTATCCACTAGTGATTCGCGCAAATGCTCTGAGCGAGGAATTTTTTGACAGTAAATTGAGTACAATTGATAAAACTTTTCGCGCTATAAAAAATAACGTTTAACAAATTAAACATAATTTGATCATTTTTAACCTTTGAACAAAACATAGTGCGACGAGTTCAGTTGTTGAAATACATTTTTCAAGATCTTTGAGAAAAACGTCGTAATGAAACGTATACAACTCGTGTAGGCTTCCAAACAGCACATCTTCTTTTCCTTTCAGACTAGCAGGGACGAAGTCTTCAAATATCATGCGATTATAATAGCCCTTAAATAAAGTAATTTAAATAATATGGAAAATTAATAATAATGGATGTATAAGTTAATTTATAAAAGATATAATATCATTAAATATAATATAATATTGTTAAGAAATAGATCGGTAATTTATTATTGTTTTCCAATCGCACCTAGTTAAATGCTCATTATTGTATTGTTTTCTAATCGCACCTAGTTAAATACACAATATTGTTTTGCATTCTACATAAAAGCTTTAAGCTCACACTCATAGCTGAAAGTGTAGTCGATCTGCATTAGTATTGGAATATCATGCGTGTTTCTGCATTTTTTCCGCACTTTTTTCGACAGTCATATACTTAGTTGAGCTTGTACCCGCAACTGCTCGCTAATCGCAACCCACCTTAAAACCTTTTGTAAAACCGCTTATTATTAATAAAAAAAAACCTCAAAAGCAACATAAACAATAATACAGTCCACTTCATTTATAAACAAATATAATTTAATATTAATAAAATAAAAAAATATATTATAAAAGAATATAATGTGATATAATATAATATAATATGATAAAGTATAATATAATGTAATATAAAATAATAAAATATAATAAAGTATAATATTATATAATAAAGTATAATATTATATAATATAATAATATTATATATACAATATATTTTATATAAATATATATAAACAAGAAGAAACGATATAGTCGAGTGCCGCGACTATAAGAATATAAGAATAGTAAAATATTAATTTTGCTAGTGGAAGACACACACTATAATATTATGGGCGCCACTGTTTCCCGCGGATGGGCCGTTAGAGTGAGCCAGATGAAAACTCGTGGCAAGTTTCAGTGGTATCTATTAAGGACGTAGAGCATAGCTTTCTAGCTCTTGTATTTCCCGAGGTTTTTGCACTTTTTGTTTTCCGGGTTTTGGTAGTTCTGACGATTGGAATGAAGTACTACCTCCCCAATTACATATTTAGACAGTATCAACAGTTCGTATCTCAAATGCATTTATTGGAAACTTGTCGAGTTCCTTGCCACATATCAGCACTGCTTCAAACAATGGAACTGCACGGATGATGCAGATGCATCGTCTAAGGTTATGTTACATCTATAGCGTCGAGGTCTACAAGGGATATGCTGTTAATTTGATAACGCCAAAAACTCGAGTGGCACCTATTAAGTCTGTCTCCATTCCGAGACTTGAGCTAAACGCAGCCCATTTGCTCTCTAAGTTGATTTCCCTGGTCATATATTCAGTATAAATTGTTGGTCAGACTCTGAAATAGTCCTGCATTGGCTATCACCTCCTCCCCGGACCTGGAACACTTATGTTTGCAACCGTACTACAGAAATCTTAGAGACGTGCCCACGTAGCTGCTGGAAACATATTGGAAGTGGCGAAACCCTGCAGACTGCGCATCCCGAGGAATACTTCCAAAGGGCCTCTTCCAACCTGTGGAACGGACCAGCTTGAATATCTCAGTCATGCTCAACTTTTCGACCAGTTAAGGCTAAATTTGTTCTGTCGACAAAAGAAGAAGCTTCCCTGATGGTAAGAGCCGATCTTAAGGTTGATCTACACATTTCCGACGACTGAAATTCACCAACCTGTATGATCAACAAACCCTCTTCATGGTCTCGTTTGTTGAGGATTCTCAGCTACTGCTATCATTTCGATCATCGTCTAGTATATAGAATACTTTTTACGGTCAGAAACGCTTCCTTCTATCTATACCTTTCAACAAATCTAGTATACTTTTTTTTCTAGGAGTAACGGGTATAACAAGTAAAAACGATGTAGTAAAGTGCTGCAACTATAATATAACCGTTACTGTTCTTCCTTTTGAGATTCATTGTACGAAGCTGTCCGGCCTGTTCTATTAATCACTTAGCTTTACCTTGTATTAGCCACCACGAAACCAATTTGTTCAGTAACCGTGGAAAAAATTTATGAGTTGAAGAAGAGCAGGCCTCAAGTAGTCAATGGATCTGGAGGGAACTCGTTGAACGATGGCAGACTTGTTATTGATATTTACATGAGGCGGACACCATATTTTTTGGGCGTATGTCGTATTTTGTCGTTAGCTTAATTTCCATTTCCATCCAAAACTAGGAGAAGCAAACGAAAATAGAAACGGCTGATTAACCCGCGGCTCATCCATCTTTGTTGCTTGGCCTAACAGTATGTTATTAGCAAAAATGCCATTTCTAATGTCTTGTTCAAATTAAATTAAGCTTATCAAAAGCTGTTATAAGCAGCACTACTAAAAGTAGAAACAAGTTTTGCAGAATCTTAGTCCTAGTGAAGACCCGAACTCATACACATAAATCTACGGCAAAGTTTCACGTGGAACAAACAGATTAAAACTAAAAACTTATACTCAGTGAAAGCGTGAGCAAAAACATCTGCATTAAAGTGAAGCGAGTGTGATTAAATCGATCATCATAAAAAGCAAATACTTACATATATTACAAAGGAACAGATTAAAAATGTAAAGAAAAAAAAACTGACAAATACCAAGTGAAGAACTGAAATTATGTGTAAAAGACTTTAAAAATAAAAATAAAAAATAACTTAGAACAAAAAACTGAGCAATGCAAGGTAAAGCTATAAAAATTGAAAAAGACTCAGACGAAAATAATACAAAAATTAAAATGGCAATAACTATGGCTACTCAAGCAAGAATTGAAGACACCCTAATACCCGTCTTTGATGGAACAAACTTCACAAATTGGAAACTGACATTAATGGTTCTGATGGAGTACAAGGAATGCAAACAACAAGTAACAAGGATTAAAACCAATAAGGAAGCTGAAGCGGACTGTACTAAGAGAGACTAGAAAGCGAGGATGATGATCATGAGTACAGTGACTGACAGATGAGATGATGAAAAAGTTGATAGTATTTACACAACGAAATGCAGATCATACAAAGAGGAAAAATAGAAGAAATAAAACTCAGCAATTATACTGAAGTCGACGATTTCTTTGTAGATTTTGAGAAGGCAATAAATGATTTTGAAGGAGCTGGTGAAGTTTTGGAAGAAGCAGAAAAAATTATATATCTTATATAAAAGCATTGCCGCCGAACTACAGCTACATCGGCGATTTTATAGATATTGTACCAGAACAACAAAGAACAGCTGAATATATAAAAAGCAAAATAAAAGAGAAAAATTTCAACAAAAGCGAGAAGTCTAAAAGATTAAGCGTGAGTACATTCAACGCAAATGCTAAAGGAGTCTGTTTCAGTTATGGCACATATGAACACCAGAAAAAAAACTGCTATCTAAATCAAGGAAATCAAGGAAGCCAAAATGCTATTCAAACTGGGCAAAACAGAGGATTTCATTGGTTATATCAAACTAACTTTTAAAACATATTATAAAAGTAAAACTGTAGAGTTTAAAAATGTTTACTATGTAAATGGAATTCAGGAGAATTTATTAAGCGTATCAAGAATAACGAAAAACAATATCATTCTTGCAAAAAACAGTAATGCAAAAATATATGATCAAAATAATGAATAAGTAGTCGTATCTTATAAATAAACATCTTGTATGTGATAAAAGGTATTGCAAAAGAAACTGATAGTATTGAACAATATTTATTCAGAATTAACAGGTATACTGCTACCTATGTGTTGGTCTCCAAATTAGCCTCTTCGTCAGGGAGTTTGGATGGGAGCCAAGGCGTCTGGAGTAGTTTCCAGCATGCGTTCGACAAACATCGCATATCTTTGGGATTTTGAGATCTCTTTCTATATCTCTGGTTCTCATAAACCATGGGCATTACAAATCGATCTGACAATCTTGCCTTTCGCTACAAGTATTTTTTTAGGTTCGACTTAGACGCTATGCCGTAGGCCTGTAACGCATATTTCCAGATTGGACTGAGAATCGATTTATAAATTCTAACTTTGTTGGACAAAGAAAGCTTATTTCTTGACGTAAGTAGCCAGGACATACTTGCTGCCTTTGATAGTATTAAAGTAGACTTCTTTAAACAAATGTGTTAAAACTAACAAATAAAGAAAAATATTCCGAAATATTTGGATAAATTAGTTTCACGAAAATTATTAGGAGGTTTGCCATATGATCTAGAAAAAACTGAGATGAAGTGTGCGAACAGCTTACATATTAGATTATATTAACTTCGTAGAAAACATTTAACAAATGTGTGAAGACATTACATTGTGATAACGGAAAGGAGTATTGAAACACAGACATCAATAGCCAACACACAAGAAAAAAACTTTCCGAAATATTTTTCAGTATTAAGCCAAATGTTAAGAATTTAAAACTCTACGGCAGCAGAGTATTTGCTAGAATACCAGAAGTTTAAAAAAAAAGCAAATGGGATGACAAAGCTAAGGTCGGAGTACTTGTAGGCTACAATAAAAACGGTTATAGAGTACTTATGAACAATAAAGTTATTAATTTTAGACATGTCGATATAATAGAAGACAAAACGGAATTAATCTGCTTAGAAAAATACTAGGAAGTAGGAAGTATTGGTAAAGAAAATGTTTTTAGTAAGACAGAATCTGAAATGTGTGAGGATAAGCAATCTGAAAGAGAAGCAAATGTAGAAAATAAAAATTTTAATCAGAGTGAATAC